TGGGAGAGGGAGAAGCAGGCTTCCCTCGGAGCAGGGAGCCCGATGCGGGGCTCGATCCCAGGACCCTGGGATCATGACCTGAGCTGAAGGCAGACGCCTAACAAGTGAGCCACCCAGGCGCCCCAGGAGTGCTATTTTCAAGGTGAAATGCCAGCTGGATTCTCCCAGTGAAAATGTCTATCAAGGCTGAGCTCTAACTAAGACTTCAAGGACCAAGAAAATTTGTCACCAGAAGTCTCTTCCTACAAGGAGTTTTAAAACAGCGGCTCTCAAACTTGACCTCTTATTATAAATAGCAGAGAGGGTTGTAAATTCCTGATTCCTGGGCCCAGCCTGAGATGCTGAATCAGTTGATCTGAGATGTGGCCTAGGCATCAGGATTTTTAAAAGCTCTACAGATGATTCAAATGTACAGCCCAGGTTGAGAACCTCTGTGTTAAGGGATGCATTTCAGGCGAAAGGTAAGTGACCCTAGATGAAAAGTCAGAGATTCCTTCATTCGTTTAAGATATAATCCTTGAGGATCTATTATGTTAGGAACTATTCTAGACACCAGGAACACAGCAGTGAGCAAAATAGACAAGAGTCCTGGCCTCTAGAAGAGGGAAACGGACAAAACAACAACAACAACAACAAAACAAAAAAACCCCCAAGATAAATAAGTAAAATATGCCATTAGATAGTAACATATGCTGTAGAAAAAAAAAAAAAATGAAGCCAGGAAGGAGGATATGAAATGCTGGATGTATGTGGGTGTGTGAAATTTCAGATACAGTGGATGGGGAAGACTCTAGGGTAAAGACCAAACTAAAGGGAGAGAGCAAGCTATAAGGATATTTGGGTTATGGCATATGCAAAGGCCCTGAGGTGGAGTGTGTCTGCCTTGTTGCAGGACTTAGGAGGCCAATGGGCTTGAGTGGAGTGAGCCAAGTAATCAAGGGAGACCTCACTAAAATGGAGTGGGGAGGCCAGGAAGGGGAGGTCTGACAGGTACCCCTGGAGGTCCCTTACAGGAGGAATTGTCAGTTACACACCCCAACAAAGAGTCCTCAACAGGAAAGTATCAACTACAGGCCCCGACAGGGAAAAATGTGCATTGCATCCCCTACAAGAAATCCACTACCACTGTAACTCCGCCAATGAGAGCCTGTCATCACCCTGAACTCTTGATTTTCTCCAATGGATTTTGGCTCAAAGCACCCCTCCCAGTTTCCTCCTTCTCAGTAAAATAATGTTCCTTTGCTTTGTTTGTTAGACTTGCCCATGGTTTTTCATAGCTTGAATGTCCCAAATTGCAATTCTTGGCTATTCCTGAATAAACCCATTTTGCTGGGAAAATAACTGGCTGTTTTATATTTTAGGTTTAACAGTAGTCAGAGAAGGAGGAGAGGCAGTTTGCAGGCCGTGGGGAGGACCTTGGCTTTTACTTTGCCATGAGAGTGTTGGGAACTACTGCGAGTGTGTTGAGGAGTGGTTTGATTGACATTCTAGGGACCCTCCGGCAGCAGGTGGAAAATGGACTGCTGGGGCCAAAAGGAGAAGCCGTCCGGTGAGGCCAGAGCTTCCGCTGGTCTTCAGCAAACAGAGCCGAGGATGCCGCTCACCCTCAGGTGTGCGGGGGGGGGGGGTCCGCGGAGGCTGAGCCGGGGTGGCTCCGCGCTGCGCCCCACCCCAATACCGCCCAATCCCCGCCCCGGCAGTCACGGCCCCGCCCCCACTCGGGCCCCGCCCCTTCCCGCGGCGCTGCGGGCGCGGCAGGGCCGGTGAGTGAGGGTCGGGGAGTCTGAGGTCAGCCCAACAGGGGTCACTCCGGTCAAGGTCATTGAGCACCCGGACCGCCGTGATCCGGAGCAGGGCGGGGACCGCCGGGGACTGCGTAGGTGGCAGCCGCCCCTGGCTGGGCCGGGCGGTGTGTGGGGGCGGGGGGTGTCCGGATGTCCCGACAATCTGCTGCCCCACTTCCGGGGCCTCCACTTTCACTTTCCCTTCCGCTGTAGCTTGCTCTCCTCCCTTCCCCACTGTCTGAGGCCACCCCGGAGGGGAGAGAGTGTGGCTGTAATCCTGGGCGCCAGGGGCGCTCCCAACAGCGAAAAGTGGGGCCCCTCCCCGGGGGCTAAACAGCGCCCGGCTGTGCGGCGTCACTCTCATCCCCGCCCCAGGCCTGTCCCGTTTCCTCTGTCGCGCATTGTGGGCTTGGCTCTGTGCCGCCTGCCCTTTCACCTCCCACGCGAGGTCCCGGCCGCTTCCCATACCCGGTCCCCGGTGCTTGGGATGTTACCCGATTGCCGCTGGGGACACCAAGGCACAAAGAGGGCTCGGGCCGCGTTGGAGGCCACCGGTGGGGGCTGAGTTGCTTGTGGTCGTCCGCCCTCTGCCAGGTGACCCAGGGATAGCATTTCTCCGGAGCTGCTGCCCCCGCCCGGGGGGATGGGCGCAACCAAGCCAGATGGACGAGAAGACCAAGAAAGGTGGGCACCCCCTGGAGGCGGCTGGGAAACTTCCGTTAGGAAGTGGGCCCCGGCAGGACCCGGCCTCCCCTCCCCAGAAGGACCCGGGAGAGGGAGCTTTAACAGTGTCCTTCCTCTACCCACCTGCCCCTCAGTTTCCTTCTTTGGGGCCTGGTTGCTGCCAGAGGCTTTTCATTCAATTATGGGATGCCCCTGAGGCCACCGTGAGCCAACTCTGCTGCGATGGGGTAGGGAGCTCCTGGAGGGCACAGGAGACCTCGCAGGCTGGTGGGGGAGACAGATCTCAGTTGACCTGAATATCAGGGGCCCTTGCCTCCCGTCTTGCTTCCTCCACCCAGCATTGTAGAACATGTCAAGTCATGTCATCACCCTGCTTAAATCCCCTCACCAGGTGCTCCTCTGTGTTCTTAAAACAGAAGCCAGAGCCCTTGGTTAGCCCACAAGGCCCTTTGGGCTTTATTGACCTCATAGTCTTACCCCATTCACCCCCTTGTTCATTCTGATGGAGCTCCACTGGCTTCTCTCTGTTCTCATCTAACCATTTCTTGCTCAAGGCCTTTGCCCTTACCTTTCTCTCCACCTGGTATACTCTTCCCTAACTGGGTCTGGACATATGTAGCTTCTCCTTCTGGTCTCAGCTTCAGCGTCACCTCCTCCTAGAGGCCTTCCCTGATCTTACCCTGTTTATTTCCTTGCCAGCATGGATCACAATCTGAATTTTTTTCTGTTGTCTGTCTCCTTACTGGGCTGGGAGGTCCATGAGGAGAGGGACCCTGTTTATCTTATTCAAACTGCTGAATGCCAGATTCTACGGCAGTGGTTGGTACACAGTAGGAGCTCAATAAATGCTTGTCAGATAAGTGAATGGAAGTATGGGGACCTGGGAATATGAAGGAAAAATAGAACCAAATGAACAGGGAGGGGGAATGGGGAGTTTCAGAGAAGGCCCCTCAGACAAAGGGAATTTTAAGCTGGGTACTGAAGGATATGTAGGAGTTCACCAGGAAGACAGAGGAAGCACCATGTACAAGGGATCACCACCTCCCTCACCCCCAGCTCCTGAAAGATAAACCCTGTGCTAACCTGCTTCCACTGTGCTGGATTTCAGCCGAGGAGATGGCCCTGAGACTCAGCCGGGCAGTGGCAGGCGGGGATGAAAAGGTGGCAGTGCAGTGTGCCATCTGGCTGGCAGAGCAACGGGTGCCCCTGAGTGTGCGACTAAAGCCCGAGGTCTCCCCAACACAGGACATCAGGTAAGGAGTGCATGGGTGGCCAAAGACTTAGGGTTTCCCGAACTGCAGCGGACCACAATATATTCTTGCCTGTAGAACAGTTATGTTTAGTGGCAGGTTCTGGTGTCAGGGACCTAGGTTCAAACCCAAGCTCTGGCACTAATCAACTGTGAGATCTATGGCAAGTCACTTCACCTCTCGGAGCTTCAGGGTTTTTTAAATTTTTAAAATGGGGCAATAATAGTAAGTTATCTCAAAGGGTGGTTAGAAGATGTATTAGAATGTTAGTCCTCATGTAACAGAAAAAACCTAGTAACAGTGGCATAACTAAGTTTGACGGCAGGCAGTCTAGATGTGGAGGCTGTGCTTCCTGTAGTCCTCAGAGACTCATGCTTCTGTCCTGTTTTTCTGTCATTCATGGACTCCATTCTGAGGTTTGCTTCATCGTCCAAAATGGCTATTCCAGCTCCAGCCATCACATCAGCATTCTTGTCAGCAGTAAGGAGAAAGGTGGCCCCATATTTGGGGGGAGGGCCAAATATGGGGCCACCCAACCAGGTGGGAGCTGGCGGCCCCAGGAGGTGAAAGAATTCACCCTAGGCCGAACAAAGGAGACAGAAGTTTATTGAATACACTGCAGGGGAGCGGTGGGCGGGACAGCAGAACCAACTGTCTTCAATGAGGCTGGGTAGGGGGCTGAGTTAAAGGGCAGAGTAGGGAAGTAGGGGACGGGGAACTGATGGAATTTTCCCTTTATTGGTAACTGTGTCTGGTGTAAGTAAGCCATTGTGAGCTAGGGCTATGCATATTTTGAGGTGGGTCGCTTAATGAGCCTATTTGCATTCAGCTTTGGTGGTTGCTGTGGGCCCTTTTGCCTTGATCAAGTTTCCATTGCTCCAGCTTGTTGCCCCAAAGCGGCCTCTACAGAAGGGAAGAAGGACACCCCCTCCCACACTTAAGAGCACACAGCTCAGAAAGTTGCACACTTTTTCCACTAAGTTCCTGCGGACCAGAACTTATTCTCACAGCCACACTCAGCTTGAAGGGAGGCTGTGAAATGTGACCAGGTATCCAACTAGAATTCAGGGGTTCTGTTAGCAAGAGAAGCAAGGGAGGATGGATACTGTTAGTCTTTCTCCAGGAGACTTAAGCTTGATGTTGTAATGCTTAGCACTGTGCCTCGCACATATCAGTCACTCAATAAACGGCAGGGTTTATCTTTTTCCTGCTGCTCTTTTACTGCTGCATACGTAGTAAGACAGTAGTTTCATAGTTGTGATTTTCAATGATCCTGGTGGATCCCATTTGATTTTTTAATGGTTTCATTGAGATAGAGTTGATGTACCATACAGTTCAATAATTTAAAGTGTATGGTTCAAGGCTTTTAGTATATTCAGAGTTGTGCAACCATCACCACAATCAATTATAGAACTTTTTTTTTTTTAAGATTTTATTTATTTATTTGAGAGCGAGAGCAGGAGCAGGGGGAGGGGCAGAGGGAGAGGGAGAAGCAGAC